TTTGGCCCTGGGGGTGTCCCTGTGGGGAAGAAAGTCCACGCTCTCACACAGAAATGGGGAGAAAGAAATTCAGTATAGTAACTTGAAATAGTGGTAACTGCTGCACAGTTAAGTAGGATAATAAGATAGGGAGACTCTGTGTGTGCATCCCAGGAGGGAGGGAGGGGGGCTTTAAATTGTAGCATCAAGGAAGGGTCCCCCAGGGAAGCGACACTGGAGCTGAGACAGAGTGATCCTGGGAGCTGCCCACGCAGGAACGTGGCTGGGGGAGGGGAGGGGAGGGGGAGGGGCGTGTCTGGTGCAGAGCCCCTGGGTCAGTAAGGCGGTTGGTCGGTAGTCCTGTTGGAAGGAAAGCAGGAGGGGACAAGAGTCCTGAGAGAGCACTACCAAATGAGGTCACAGGGCAAGACAGCCAGGTGACATTATCTTAAAGGTCACGAGTGACCTTCGATTTTATGACTTTCAGGGAACACAGATCAGAACAGAACTTGGTATCAGGCTGAATGCCAACTCCTTTTTTTTTAACCTTGGGCACTTCATTTCAACTTAATACTTTACCAGTGTGCAATGGTTTGATTGATTGATTGATTTAGGAGCCACACAGATGTTCTTTGCCTAACATATTTATTTATTGTGGTCATGTCTGAGTTCTTTTATACCAGCTAATAAAGTGATTTATTTGAGAAAGAAAGCAAATGAGTATAACATATGCACCAGTTTGTTAGCTGTTTTAAAAAGCTATCTTACTCTTACGCTTTATTTAAAGGTTAGTCTAACATCTTAAGAGATTATGTTTTCAGAACAGAAAAGTTCTAAATTATTCCTTGTGTCATTAAATTTTTCCCAATGACCTTTTTGGAACAGAATTTTAATTTTCTTAGATATTAGAACACAAAGCAACTGCGTTAGGAAAGCAGACACCGGGACTGCATCTCAGTAGAACATCTATCTCTGAGTGAGGTTCTGTCGGAGATGGAAAGGAAAATGAATGTCACTTTTTTCAATTAATGGCTGAGTTCCCAGAATGATTCATATCTTAGCCTATGATATCACCCTTATTTAAGTGCTTAGACAGACAAATAAACACTTAGAGAAAGAGCAGAATGAAATGATGGGAAGGAGAAATAATTCAGGAGAATAACTGTCGGGTTCAGCTTTGAAGTGCGTGGTACATTGGGTTTTCATTCAGAAGATCACCGTGGTTTTATGACAAATGGAATACAGTTTGGAGTTTCGTTTTGCCTGACAGGGGCATTAATACCAGGTGGAAAGTGCCTGCTGTCTCATTCCGAATACTTGAAGAAAGTTAATCCTGAGAAAGGGATTCTGGGATGTGGGAGGCTTGAAATGCTGTCTTCTCTCTCCTTCTGATTCCAGTTTATTGGCCTCTGAGCAAAGCAGCTTCTGAGGCCGGAAGGCCTCCAGGAACGGGAGTGTGCGGGCTCCCCGAGTCCCAGCAGAGAGCCGGCGCGGGGCTTTCTCTCCCGGCCCCGTGAGGATGGTGCAGGAGGAGCTTTCTGGGGTTGGAATGCGGCGGGTCCTGGGGAGGGCTGTCTGTACGTCTGTCCCCTCCGACCTTTGTCATCCGGCGTCAGTTCCCAGACAAAGCTGCATGCTAGTTCAGGTCCCACAGGGACTTCTGAGGACAATTATTTGGAATTATTTAAAGGTTCACTAAATATTCGATGATTTCTTAGATAAGCAGAGAAGAATGTGTTCCTGAAAATAGACAGGACAAAGCCGAGGAGGACCCCGGTGCAGGTGATGGTAGGGAGAGGGGGTCTGTGTGACCCCACCGTCAATACGGCCTCACACAGTGTAGGCAGGTAGACCACTAGCACAACAAAAATAAAACCTTCTCAACTCGTGTTCTTCACCTGAATCCCCAAACACAGATGATTTGAGTACTGTTTTCTTGATTTTCCCAAGAATAGTGTAGAACTAGTCCACTCTAGATGCATTGGAGAGAAGTCCATTCATCACACACACGAAGGGGAACCCACAAAAACCCAGAATTATCTTCTGGAAGGCAGGCCCCTTGCAGTACAGGCTCCCCCTGCTAAGCAAGTGCTCTGGGAACCCATCTGTGTCCGAGTACAGCTGGCGCTGTTGTGACAGCCTGTGTTTGGCTTCAGTGAATTGTTTGTGAAGGCTCTTTCAAAGCGTTTGCCCGTGTCATGACGGGTGAGGCACCAGTGCAGCTACCCACACCACACTGAGTGTTCAGCCACGACTGGTAGCAGTTCTCTGGGCAAAGGGATCGTCTTGCCCTTTTCTTGTTGAAAGGTTAACTTTTATAGCCTTTAAGAAAGGCACTTGTAAAACATCTTTCAAGATAAAAATTATACCTTTCAACCCAGCAGTCCTGTTTTTGGACTCCTCCCTAGGCATAAAGGTTCCAGTATGGAAAAGCATGTAACAAATGTGTGTAATGCAGCATTCTTGGTGGCTGAAACCTGAGGACCAGGCCAATGCCCATCAGTAAGGGAATGGCTTTCTAACCTGGGCCACCTTTGTCATAAGGTGTTACATAGTCAAGTCATTCAAAGGATGGGCTGGGACTGTGTCAGGGGGAAAGGTATCCAGGAGGGAACTGTTTCAGGGGGAAGGGTTTCCCAGAGGAAACTGTGTCAGGGGGAAGGGTATCCCAGAGGGAACTGTGTCAAGGGGAAGGGTTTCCCAGAGGGAACTGTGTCAGGGGGAAGGGTATCCAGGAGGGAACTGTGTCAGGGGGAAGGGTTTCCCAGAGGGAACTGTGTCAGGGGGAAGGGTATCCAGGAGGGAACTGTGTCAGGGGGAAGGGTTTCCCAGAGGGGAACTGTGTCAAGGGGAAGGGTATCCCAGAGGGAACTGTGTCAGGGGGAAGGGTATCCAGGAGGGAACTGTGTCAAGGGGAAGGGTTTCCCAGAGGGAACTGTGTCAGGGGGAAGGGTATCCAGGAGGGAACTGTGTCAGGGGGAAGGGTTTCCCAGAGGGAACTGTGTCAAGGGGAAGGGTATCCCAGAGGGAACTGTGTCAGGGGGAAGGGTATCCAGGAGGGAACTGTGTCAAGGGGAAGGGTTTCCCAGAGGGAACTGTGTCAGGGGGAAGGGTATCCAGGAGGGAACTGTGTCAAGGGGAAGGGTTTCCCAGAGGGAACTGTGTCAGGGGGAAGGGTATCCAGGAGGGAACTGTGTCAGGGGGAAGGGTATCCAGGAGGGAACTGTGTCAGGGGGAAGGGTTTCCCGGAGGGAACTGTGTCAGGGGAAGGGTTTCCTGGAGGGATCATTGAAAGAGAAAAGGTGCATAAGAAAAGCAAATAGGCTATTTTAACTTTTGAAAAGTAATAGTGCTCCAAAAAATGTCCTGTAAAGATGCATGTTTTAATGTACATACAGAAACATTTGAGGATATATTTTAGATAAAAATGGTTGGAGTAGTGTGAAGGGTAACATGGGGAAATGAGACTGGAGAGGAGGAATGGTGTGAAAAGTAAATAAAATTCATGTGAAAAGACCAAAACAACACAAGCATACACGCACACATAAATCTGTATCTTCACAAACGAGGAGAAATGCTAGGGTTTTATGTACTGCCTTACAGGGATATTCAAAGTAACACATTCAAATTTTAGAAAGCCTACTGCAAAGTAATGTTTATAACATGGTTCTATTTTAGTAAATAAACAAAAGATCCTGTGTGGATGAGTTCTCCTTTCCAGATTTCCTTCATTTTGCCTGAGAAACTTTCCAAATGCCTTCCTCTTGACTTCCTGGCTGCTCTGCTGGGTGCGGAAGACCGTGGTGGAGCTCTCCTGCTTGCGTCTGGCCCGCGCGTGGGTCCCGGAGCTTGCGTGTTTCCCAGGGGCAGGGCTGCACAGACGGGGGGGCCTTGTGGTGGAGTGGGCAGGAGAAGGAGAACTGAAGGTTTCCAGCTCCTTGGGTCTGCCGAGGCTTCCCTGGACTTTCCACCGGCAGGCCTCACCCAGAGTCCTCCGGCCCGCCAGTGACTTCGGGGGGTGAGAGCGGACAGCCGGCCAGCCAGCCAGCCAGCCCCGAAGTGGGGCCAATGGCGGTGGGAGGAGGAGCTCCGCCTCTGTGGGCATCAGAGGTGTGCATCCCTTTCAGGTCACGCTGGGTGCTCTGGCACCCTAGCAGAGCATTCCGGAGTACGAGTGTACAGTGAGTGGGGTAAGATCCACTAATACTGTAGCCACCCCGCCTCTGCGTAAAGGATCTTATAAGATTGACCTTGTTCAGCTAGACACCTGATTCAAGCATCTTATCACATGAAATGTCTTCTAAGTCCCACAAAGCACCCAACTGAGGCCCACAGGACACCGGCAGTACCGGGTACCTGTGTGCTGAGGGCTCCCAGGGCTACGTGTGTCCCATAGACCCTCTCCTTCCAGGGTTCCTGAGTGGGTCCAAAATAGTTCCAACTCCACTTAAAAAAAACTGAGCCAGTCCCATTCTAGGGAGGGTCTATCCGAATGCCCTTGAATTACTAGCTTGCCTTTCTTACTAATTACTAATTTGCCTGAGTGCTACAAATTAACTGACTCTTAAAAGCATGCTGGTGAACTGTTTTTCCACTCTCGAGGTACTAAATTTTTTGGATGGACAAACATTATTCAGTTAGCTGTGAATACTAAAATAATTGGTTCTTACATTAAAGGAAAAAAGAATTAAATTTTTAGAAAATAGACATGTTTTATCATTTCTTAAGAATTGAGCAGAAAAATGTATACACACTACATATATATATAAAATTCCATTTTTTGTGAGGACTTTTTGGAGAAATCACAAATTGTAGAAGATGGAGAGAGAAGAGGTGCTGGCATTAGGAAATGTTGATGGAATCGGTGTACACACAGGTGAGTTAATGCCGTGTGCATGGGGATGCTTTTAATATGGGATTTTTAACTCACAGAACTTGGAGGAAATTGAAATTATTGAAAACACTAATGTTTTAGAGATTAAAACATCTATTTTAATATTACTTTTTTTTTTTTTAAATAGACCCTATACTCCTATGAAAGGAGGAATCTCCAACGTGTGGTTTGACAGATTCAAAATATCCAACGACTGCCCGGAACACCTGGAGTCAATCGATGCGATGTGTCAGGTGCTCACAGATTTGATCGACGACGAAGTGAAAAGTGGCATCAAGAAGAACAGGATATTAATAGGTAAGACCTTCGAATATTGTGATTTAAACTTCTTCCACCTTTGTTTAATTCTGTATATTGAACTGAACTTGAAATGTTGTTGAGAAGCATTTGTATGTCATTTGCCTTGTTCATAGTTTCAAATAAACTTTACATACTAAGGGTTTCAAAGATACTAGAATCATAAACAATAGCTCATGAAATTTTAATTCACTTTCGTTTTAATGACAACAATTCGAGAACCCCATGTTTCATTTCCAAGTAAGAGATTATTCATTTCAACTTTTAAAACAATTTATTTTAATTAGCCTAAGTTTTAGAAATACGTTTAAACTGCTATTGCCATGATGAAGATAAAGTACACCGTCAAAATATAACATTGAGTTTAACAGTAAACCTTCAGAGTTCATATCACAGAATAACGTATCATAAACTGTTGTTCGGTGACTTTAGCGACCTTTGTTTCCAAGGAGATACGATGTGACTTTATGTAACCTTTTTCTCCTCCTTAATCCCCTTTTTCCCTGTAGTCATCAAACACATGAACTAGAATATCTCTTTCTATAATACGTACAGAAATGAGGTTGGGTGTTTCAAATGTGTATGGTACAGAACACTTATTCTGGTGAAGGGATTTTATTTTCCAATATAACTAATGTATAATGAGTTGTATTAATAATGAAATTACAAAGCCAATGAAGAGTCCCCGCTCCATGAAGAGTATCAGACATGAGAAGTGCATTTATCTCCTTTCCTGCATCTGTACCCACCGTGACTCTGCACAGGACGTGCTGAAAGGGGAAGCCCAGGCCACACAACGATGACTTTATGTCACCTTCTCGATGTTGGCAACACAGTCGCAAATGAAAGCCGGCTGCAAGGCCTGTGTTCTGAGATTACAGTTAACATTTCACTACCCCGTCTTGCTCTGGTTGGATGAACACGGCGAGAGCGTCCAGCGTGCAGAGCGTAGGCAGTCTCTCAGCACAGCCGCCTGTCTGTCGGCGTCTCTGTTGAAACTCTTCCTTTCCTTCCGGTGCGCTTCTGGGTAATGTGAAAAGTTAAAGGAGAAGAGGTGCATATAATTTCCCTCGTGTGTACTGTTGCACTTGGAAAGTGTATGTGGTGGTAGCACTACTAAAATAGTTGACATTCACGTTCCATTTGACAGGTTTTAAATTGCCATTAAATATCATGTTTCATATATAGATGGTGTTTAAGTTATACAGGTTGTTTTCATATGTAATCTCTCTCTTGATCCTTGTAATGGATAAAATGGGAACTTATTCTTACTTCAGGTGTGATGAAACTAAAAATCAAAGAAATTGCTGGCCAATGTAAAGTAGAACTAGGACTAGAACCCAGATCCATTGACTTAGTCAAGAACTCTGTACAGAGTGAGGTTCCCTTTCCCGCCACTAGGTGGTGATAATTTGTTGTTAAGAGACAATTGATCTAATTTAGGCCTAACTTGGATCTGGAATGTATAGAACCTGACAAATAATATGACCAGATTGTAAGAATTTTGATCACATGAGCCTACAACCAGAATTTGGAAGCCATGAGAAGCAAGCGCTTCTGGAATTATACCTGAGTAATTTATGTGGATGCTCTAAACACCCATCATGAAGAAAGTGGTTGAGGAATTTATGGTCTGTTAATAGGAACAAATGTAATGTAACCATTAAATACTGTATATACTCTGCACATAGAAGGCATTTAGTAACTGTGTTCATTGAATACATTTACAATTATGGAGTTTTGTGATCTTTTGAAAGACTTTCAAATCAGTATTACACAAAAAAGTAATTTTTAAAAATGCCAAAGCTATGTATAAGTAGTGAGATTTTAGATGACTCCTTTTCTTTATTTCCATTCGTATGGTGGAAACACTTTATGTGATACTTCTATATCAATCTTTTCCAAAAATTAAAATGAAGCAATAGATGGAATTACCAAGAGGAAGCCAACCACCAGAACTTCCTGGGTCCCTTTGTGCTGACCTTATACATGGTTCTTCTGTAGTTCTTTCTTGGAGCTAACACTTAAGTGTGATAGCATTCTACATTCTTTTAATTTATGTGTGTATTAATTAAGCCACTTACGACTCTTCAGTAATTAGCAGAACTTTCAAGCACCGGAACTGCACTTCCAACAGGCTTGCAGAGAAGATGATAAATGTTTAGCTTCTCCTATACATTGTATTTGAGAGAAAATGTACAAATAAATATACATTCCCAAATCTTTTGAGACTTTATCACACTTCAGTCTGAAGGATAATTATATAAATTAAATGGAAGGGTTGTTGAAATTTGGAGGGTAGGGCAGATTTCTTTACATTTTAAAAATCCTATTCAATTGAGAGTAAACTTGAATTGTAAGTATTTTTCCTCTGGATTTTGTTTCAGATAGATTAACATTTTTTCCCCGCTATAGTTTTTTATATATTGTTTCTATTTTATTTTATTTAAGGAGTTCATAAAAGCTGGGTTTATTATTTTTTAACATGTTTTATTCAGCTCGTTAATCTTAAATGTATGTTGAAATGTTAACTCTTGACATTTTAATACCTTGCCAGCAACTATAAATATACATTATAACCATTACCTACAATGAGTTTACTATTTGGTATTTACTTATTGAACTGTATATTTTATATTGCATTTTAGACATGTAGATGGAAATTGAATTCAAATAACTAGTCCTTTGTGTTAAATTTTTCTGTTGGGGGAAAAAAAATACACAAAGTCCCTTTTCATAGTGGCGTCCTAGACTGAAGGCGATCGCACTGTCCAGGACAGCTGGTGAGAAGTGGCAGGCTACCTCCCGGCAGTCCGAGTGGGTAAGGGACTGACGCTCAGTTCTTAAGTAGTAAGATTTCAGTGAGTACGGTTTTCTTCCTCGTAAGTCGGGAGGAGTGAACGTGGGTCGGATGCCTGCAGGATGCCTTGTGTGTGTCCACAGTGGCGCTCCCTACGTGGGAAAGCGTGTTCTGTGCTTGCTGCTCTCGTCAGGCTGGTGGTGTGGCTGTGTCTCCCTGCAGAAATGTCCTCATGGAACTGCAGTTGGCATTTGTTCACTCGGTCACTCAGGATTTATGAAGCACCTACTATGTGCCAGGCAGGTGCTGCTCTAGGCAAAAATGTCCTGCTCACGCGAACCTGACAGTCTGGTGAATGTCGTCTTTATGTCTTGGACTTCCTTAAAAGAGTCGATAGATTGGAAGAGATGAAGGGAGCAGAAGTGAGCGTTTGCTGAGATCCATTCTGTGAACTTGAAGGAAGGCTGCGAGTCTGTTCGGAAAGATGCGGAGGTTTATTCCCAAACGGAAAGTAGACTTCTGTATTAATAACAACTGAACGTGTTGAAGTCCTTGCTGTTTTAACTTTTACAAGTGATTATTAAGCATTAAAGAATAGGTTTCAAAACTTGATGGAAACCCTGGAAATCTTCTTGTTCAGCCATCCAATTTTACTGGAAATGAAATAATCTTCTCTACAGTAAGCTCTTCATATTCTAATGGAGCTTGCCAAAGACTTAGTAAGGCACAGATTCATGGATAATGATGCCCGTGGCTTTTCACTTTCTTGGGAATCTGATGCACACATGCAAAGTTCACATACAATTGTGAGACATTTATGCTCCCTACTCCCCCACCAAGCCTGTTTGTGAGCCCCTAATTAGCTGTATCTGCATCTGGGAGTGGTTTGGGGGTTATTCTGAAACAGCCTTCCAAGTTGTCTTCGTCCCTGGGGAGCCACTGCTACTGGTGAGACCCTATTATTTCCTTCTGATATGCTGAAAACCACAGATGTAGTATTTATCATACACTGTAATTATTCACATATTATGCCCTTTTTAAAAATCTAAACTTCCCAAGGCTGGTAATCTTTACTCATATGTTTGTATCTCGGGTCCAAAATAATATGACCAGCCTGCTCTAAATAAAATAATTATATTGTAATAAATATCAGAAGATGGTAGGAGTACATTCAGCTCTGTGGCAAGCAATCTGGATTTCCACAGTCCTAGCCTTGCAGCTGAAATTAGGGGTACAGTCTTAGGAGGTCATGTAATCTCCTGGGGCTTAAGTTCCCTTCATCCATAAAGGAGTTCGTAGTGAATTCAAATTTATGGTCTCAAAGGGCTCAGCTTAATGTTATTAATTCTAGTTGCAGTGTGAGAACTCATAAGTATAAAAAGTGTACGTGAACATTAGAAATTTAAAAACACGTTCTATGACCCATTTAGTCATCAGTTCTTTTCCTTGGTGAATGTGATTGACTACTTTGTGCAGTTCTATCCCCTTTTATGAGAAATCTCCACCAGTGATGACACAGAGCAGGTGGTGTTTGTTATTACAGCTGGTTTTTCTGTGGGCTCTACAGTAGATGAAACTAGCGCCATCTCGCTTTGAAGGTCTTCATATATTTAAAAATATTTATGAAGGGCTGGTATAGATATAACTTGTTCTGAATTATTGCTGTGTGTATTCTGCTTCTTCTGAGAAGTGCATTTCGCTTCTTTTAGGAGGATTTTCGATGGGAGGGTGCATGGCGATGCATTTAGCATACAGAAGCCATCAAGATGTGGCGGGAGTCTTTGCGCTTTCCAGCTTTCTGAATAAAACCTCTGCTGTTTACCAGGTAAGTCTGAGCTTGTAAAAAAAGAACAACAGAAAAAAAAAACATAAAATATTCACACATTGAAACTAAAACAAAATTGATAAGGAATAACCATTCACAGCCAAAGTAGTCGTATGGTTTTATCCCAGCTGTCATTAGTATCCAGGAAATGTCCTGTGCGAAGAGAGTGTTACGCAAGGTGTCGAAGGGAAAGGATGAAAACAACAGTGTCTGGTGTATGTGTGTCCTTTATATGTCTCAAGCCTGTGCACGATTACGGCTGAGGGTGCGTCTGTCATGCACAGAATCAGAACCATCCACCCCAGCGCTGACCGCCGCTGCACAGCAGTGTTGTCACGTGGAAATGTGACCTGTTGCAGAGGTGCCGCTTCCTTACCGGCAGCAGAAATAGCAGGTGCAGCAATGAGAACAAGGCTGTCATTGGTCCCTCCATTGTCCCTGGCTCTGGGTTCCTCCCTCCTTCCACCCTGGGTGAGGGGCATGTCTTCCCCGGTGACACAGTTTCTTCGGGAAACGCCAGATGGTTTTGGACAGAGTCCTCTGTGGAGTCAGTGCAGGTCACGCCCAGCAGGGCCCGGGTGCCCCCAAGGCGCTGCGCCGGCCCGGCCCGCCGGTGTGTCCCCACCGGTGGGGGCACAGCGACCCCCGCCTCTCCCTTCCCTTTAGATGGGGAGGCGGCGGTAAAATTGGGGTTTCCGCGCCCTCCCTGCTGTCATGAATGCAGTTCTCAAACGTCGCACTTGCGTGTCCTCTTCCAGGCTCTTCAGGCGCGGGAGGGCGCGCTGCCGGAGCTGTTCCAGTGTCACGGGACCACCGACCAGCTGGTCCTCCCCTCGTGGGGGGCGGAGACGAGCGCCACCTTGCGGTCCCTGGGGGTGCGCGTGGACTACCACAGCTTCCCGGGGCTCTTGCACGAGCTCAGCCCGGGGGAGCTGGAAAGACTCCGGTCCTGGGTCCTCGCAAAGCTACCGGGAGAGACGGGAGGGGCCCGTGAGTGACGCGCGGGGACGTGTTCCCACACACGGAGTGTCTCTGCGAAGAGCGACTTTGACTGCCAGTGTGTCATGTGATCGGTGACCATTAAAATACTAAGAAAATACCGACAGTTTGCTGACTTATTTGTCACTGTAATTCTTAGCACCATCGACAGTAGTAGCGTGTTAAGGTAAACATTAATTTAGACAAATATCTCTATATTTTCACAAGCTAATGTTCTCCACAAGCTAATCTGCGTATAGGATATATAGCTAAACATTTTAACACGATAATCTTGCACCCAACTCCAGTCCCCTCCCCACTGGGCCAGTCGTGTGTCCATTCTCAGTTGTCACGCGCTCCCTGCCTCTTCCCAGGTCACGTGCAACCTGGGCCCCCCACACAAGACAGTGTATTCAGGGGGGGACCCTCCCGTGTCTAGTACTCGCTCACTCATCCTAAGGCACCTGTTGTCCGTACGTGCATGGGCTCCTGAAGCCTGACATGTCCTTGCTAAGGCCAGGAACACCAGGTTGAAGGTCTGGTCCTCCCAGCAAACCGCGGGCCGTTGTCCTCTCGTCCCGTCCCAAACCCTTGTTTCGCTTTCCCCACACGAACGTTTCTTCCCCAAGACAAAGGACTCGGAACAGCCTGGGTGCCATCTGACCCGGGAGAGAGAAGCGGCAGCCAGGAGAAAGCATACATCAGTACGCTATGTATGTCTACATGTTGGGGAGACTGCAATGTTGTGAGAGGAGAGAGTGGAGACTTTTTTTTACTCTGTATCGCTTCTGTTTGAATTTTTATAATGACCTTGATTACTTTTGTAATCTTTGAAGTGAAGCAAAACGCCTCCTGATGGCATTTTTTCCTCCACTAACGGCTTCATAAGAAATACCACCATCAGTGGTAAGGGAGTTAAGTGTGTTCCTTACCAGAAGTTGAGGGTTTCAACGGACGCACAACCCAGTGAACGGTGAACAGAGGAGGGGTGGGTGGATGAGCAGTCGGGCCTCGGAGAGTTCACGGGGCTCTGGGACGGAAAGGAGAACTTCCAGATCGCATTTAGCCAGCGTATATGTAAACACAAAGTCTTTACCATATAAAAGGGATTTCTTGATCTACGATAAGAGGACAGATTTACCACAGCCAAACAAACATTTCAAGAAAATATCAGAAACATGCAGACATTTCAAGAGAATCCAGGTAGGACAGGCAGAGACAGCTGCTTCAGCAGCCTGCAGCGCTGAGCAATCCCAGCCTGTGGGGAGAGCACGGACCCTGCGGAGACCCAAGGGTCGTGCGTGTAGACTTGCAGACTCTCCGGAAGGGGAGGGGCTGCCCAGCAGATTCCTGTGCTGAGGGTAGGAGGCAGGCCACGCCCGCGTCATCTGTCACACTTGCTGAACCCAGCCTGGTAGCTGCAGCCACATCAGCTCCGTTTGTCTCCTACAGCCTGGGATTAAGACGACTGTGAACAGGAGTCCAGGCCTGGAGAGACACCCCTGCGGCTCTGACCTCAGCTGTGCGCCCCAGGGTCCTGGTCCCGTCCCCTGAGGATGTTCCTTAGGGGCCAGCTGTCCTCAGGTGTCTGCTTGTCCTTCCCACTTGGTCTGAAGCATTAATCCAAGCACGATGTCTGAGCAGTTACACGGGCTTCGCCTTGGTCTGGGAGCACACAGGGTAGCATGATGTACCTCCCCAACAGCCATGGCCTTGAAGTGGACCTGAACGCTTCCAGGGACCGACGGGTATCCCCTATCGTGTTAGCTATGAAGGGGTGCCAATTTCATGCCAACTGCACTAATCAGGTGATTCCATCGTAGGAATCCTGGCCCCCAAGCTGTTCATAAATAAAAAAATTGGTTATCCTCTCCCCAGAAAGCCATGCCAGAGTACCCAGGGTAGCTTCATTTTGGAGGGATCTCCACAGCCATTTGAGAGCTACCTGAGCTGTTTGTGGTTTTCCAAAAACACTTGGAAGTCTCTTAAGGAAGATGAAAGCCTCAAGTTTCCCGGGGACACAAGCTAACACCTACTTGACAATTGTTAGGCCCCTGGAATGGGACCCCAGCAGTCAAAGGAACAGGTGACACTGTGTGGTGTGGCCACCTTGCCAGCCCAGAAGCCTTCGAGTTTCCCGGGTCAGCTTCACAGTGGAGTCCAGTCCCTGTTTGCACACAGGGTGCCCCGGGAAGTCACCCCAGCCCGTGCCGTTTGTCCACACCGCAGGGTGGATAAGTGACCGCCGCGGGGATGGGCGTGGGGAAGGTAGCTGGGGAGGACACGCTGAGAGCCGGTTTCTGTCATGGTGAGGAGGGGTTTGGGGCACGGCTGGGGCCGTCCTCTGCGGTCCGCACAGACTTCTGAGGAAGGCACAGAAGAACGGCAGTCACCCCAGCCGGCGGGGTCAGCTGGGCGGGCATCACCCTGCAACGCGCAAGGTCGCTGGTGTCACATGCCCGTCCCTGGTTCAGGGCGTGTGCGAGAGGCAACCTGTCGATGTTTCCCTCCCTCTCTTTCTCCCTCCTCTCCTCTCTCTGAAAATAAAATCTTTTTAAAAAAAAATGGCAATCACATTTCGAACCCTCTGTGGAGGGACGGCAGGCCCAGCAGGCAGGCGAATGTGGGTGCTCGGGACAGTCTGGGGGACCAGGCAGGGTGTCCCCTGCTTTGAGGAAGGCCCTGGGGGAAAGACAGTGAGGGACCGTCAAGGTCTCCCTCTTCCCCACGAGCTCCCGGAGTCCAGGTGCTCTGTCCTCAGCTTCCATCATTGTTGCCTTTCCTCCGCCTGCAGAGAATCTCTGCCTTCTTCTAGTACGTGTAAGGCCACCGCTTCTCCCGGTGTCCCTGCCGGCACCTTCTCGTCCAGAAGGGTTGGGGACAAGGGCACTTTTATAAAAGAGAACAGCCCCCACTGCAGGGGGACATGCATTTGTCTCCCTGACTCCCCCGGCGGAGGGGAAGAGAGATGGACACTGTGGACCCCCCGGGCGACCGTACGATGCGGCCCGCACGATCACGCCCCTCCTGTGCACACCCCTCCTGTGCACACCCCTCCTGTGCACACCCCTCCTGGGCACGTCCCACGTCCATTGCTCCCCCGCACAAGGCCTTCGCCGCGTCTGGTCCTTGAGTGCGTCAGAACGGAAGTGTGAGGTTTCTCTTGGAACACCAAGGAGACATTCACAAAAACGTAGACTATTATCCTAAAGCACATTTTTGGGCTGCCTTCCCATTATTGTGCGCATTACCTTTGTGCCTTTATTTAGGCCTTTTATTCTGGGTTGCTTGGGAAAGCCATACATGATTTTTATCTTGGGAACGGAATCCATGGTTCTGTGATGAGTCGTGGACATCCTGTTTTGAAGAAATCATATTTTGGGCAAAATGCCCATTAGTGAGTTATGTTTTTGCCAATAGTTTAGTTCACAGCCTCTGGGATCCCTCTCTCTCTCTCTCTCTTTCTCTCTCTCTCTCTCTCTCTCTCTCAAGAAGTGATGAGAAAGTTTGATGCTTTTGAATTCCATTTTAAATTCATTTTAACAGTGGTTTCAGAATAGCTTGTTGCTTCGTGTTGTGTTATTGTAGCTAATTCATAACTGTTTCTTTGTTTTGCTTTGTCGTGTCCCTACCTAGTCTTAAGGGCAAAGCACTACTTTAAAAATCACTGTTTTCACATTATTTCCCTCTTTCTTCCCATCCCAATTTTTTCAAATCAGTTGTTGGCTTGTCCACTTGAAACTAGAGATACACTCGACATATTCATTTTGGCCGGTTCTGGTATGCTCTCCTTTGCCAATAAAATTATTGTAATTGAAAAATTGGGTGGGGACATCCGTGTGAGACAGAAGTCTCCCCCTTGGGCATGGACCTTTAAGCCAAGTTCTGTGTCATGTAACGAGAAAGAAGCGTTACAAGCGAAGCTCACGGCAAACTGGCAGAAGGAGTGAATGAGTGGTTCTCTTCAAAAATTTCACTTCCAGGGCAGTCGATCTCCCGTCACATCTAAAAACAGGATTTCTAAATGGCAAGCGAAAAATATATCAATTTCAAATAGTAGCTGAAAGGCAATTTTTTTTTTAGGTTTCTTAATTATCCTGTGAAATGTCAAGCAAGATTTTGGGTGGCTGGTTAACACCATCTCAGTTCAGCCATAGAATTTTTTTAAACGTTTTTACTTTTTATTTATTTATTTATTTTTAGAGAGAGAGTGAGGGAGGGAGAAGGAGAGGGAGAGAAACACCAATGTCAGAGGGAAACAGCCATCGGTTGCCTCTCGTGCACACTCCAACCAGCAGGACTGAACCCAAAGCCCAGACATGTGCCCTGACTGGGAATCGAACCAGTGACCCTTCGCTTTGCAGGACAACGCCCAACCAACTAAGCCACACCGGTCGGGGCAGAATCAAATTTTTTTCTGTTGCAGGAGGGAATGCGGAGATGACCATTTCCCACGTAGGGAAGCGGGGACCTAAGGAAGCGAAGCGCCCACTCAGGGCTCTCGGTGAGCAGGGCTGACACACGATTCACCCTCCCCACGCCCTTCCCCGTGGCCATGGCGCCCTGCTGGTAGCACGCAGAAAGCACAGCTGAAAACTCACTGACGTGCGAACATTCTGCATCCGCAGCTCCTTCCTCTGTAGCCGCCTGGGAGTCCCGCTGCCTTGGTGCTGTTTTCGCAGGGGAAGCAGCCGTCTCTCCCGCTGTGTCCTCTCTGTAATAGCTGGCCTGATTTTTAAGTCACGGTGTGGACGTGGGGGACTTTTAAAACATCATTCATCATTTCTGTCCGTTTTCATTTCTGCATCCCATAGCCTGCTTCAGTCCTTATCTTACTTGATATTTTGTAGGATTTGGCGCTTCGCTTAAACGCGATTCTGGACACTGGAGCCTCCCCGTGTGGTTTTTCTAGGCTCCCTGGACCAGGATCTGTCTCTTTCAATGGCTCCTTCAGTGTTGGCTGCTCAACGTGGAGACTCCTCCTCTTTTGTTCTGTTCTGCTTTGAATTCTCCGTCCAGGTGAGCTTCCGCTTCTTTCCGTGGGGCAGACCGCGGGGCCCACGCTCTCGCCCTGGATCCGCACGTGTCTCATGCTTCCGGCCGGGCCTCCCCGCCCGGTGT